ACAGTTCAACTTGTTCGGACAACAAGCGCCTAGCTTGTCTCGCTTTTTCTAGCGCTGTCTGAACGAGCTACATGTCTCAACCGTATGGAATAAGCACACATGGAATATATGGCTTCCGTCGCAACTGCTCATGCACCATGAACCGTTTGTGCTGGTGAAGGAGTTAACGCTTTTCGTGACACAGATCACCACGTTCCTCTTTACAAGTTTCGGAGCTATGGGATCGCTGACCCTATCCTGGGCTGGATACATTGATTCCTACTTAAATGTCGTTACAATTGGAAGTTTCTGGCTCCCTGTCTGAACCGATAGAGATCCACTGTCGCGTCCATCAGGCCTCATTATTATAACCGCGGCCATCCCTAGTGATCCTAGACGACCTTGCGGGAAATTTTATGTCGAACTTTCTACCCTTTACCGACGACCTCAGAAGTTGGCGAGCAATCAAGAGAGTAGTCGACCACAGCAAGGTGGTCTTAACGTGGCACTCAAGTGTTCAGCTCAGAAAATACTCTGGTTTAACGCTATCAAATGCAAGGTATTGAGCATACGCAATCAGAGCACATACGAATGTCGGCTGGTGCACACGTTTTGCATCTCACTCCCTCAGAAAATAATCTTGGGATGCTCGTGCAGACTTATCTCGGATGCTCAAGACAGGATAAAAAAGTGGTTAAAAGAACCTAGCCAACCTACCCACTTTTTCCAAGAGGGCAGCGGTTACTTATGTTCACAGGTGAAATATGCCATCCAGGTATGGCACCTCTGGCAAAACCATGACCTCGCTGCTTTTGATAATCCACAACGGCGGGTGAAATTGTTGTAGGATTGTTCCAATTAACTTGGCATTTTGGACTAAGAGCCCTAGGAGTTCTCAGAGAACAACATCGTCGTCTGTGGGGTGATCTTATATTAGTGATTCAGAGCCTCAAAGATCCTAAGCACCCATGCTTACGATTGTTTTATCTCAGCCACAATGCTTCGCTTAGAAGCCACCGGTAGATCTTAGCCACACAGTTCAGCGGTTTGGAATGATGCCAGGACTTTATTCGTTTTATCCCAGCCGTTGAACTTTGATTTCTCGACGGTGCGAGAGACTGTTCCCACGAAAAGCCTAAAATAGAATCCGCTTGTCTTCAATGACTGGTAGTTCAAATGGGGAATCTGTGGCTCAGTGATTTTCGAAGACGTATTTTCCACTTGAGATTGGAGTACGAAACGAGTTCTCACGGAAAACCACCTGGTTTCCCACGGTGTTTTTCTTACAGCTGTGGTCTCCTGGCTCGGTTGTTGGTTGGTTCGCCAATGTGAACAATTTGGTTGCGAACGTTTCGTCGCCATTCGAACTGACTTCATCAGGGTAGAATTAGTGGTATTCTGATTTCATGATATGAAGTTGCCTAACATCAGTTTCTGTTGTCTCTTCCACACTAAATTGTTCATCTCGGTGAATCACCAAAAACCTGGTAGGATTTGTTGTGCGACATCAATTTTCTACTTTGATTCCAGGAGGCGTTGGTTACCTGAGTGTGTACTAATTAATACCAAAGCGACTACTATAACAGCGCATCGTGTAATAGAAGGAAGATTAAACGTTTGAGACAATTTATGCCGATAACAATAAACCACTCGTCAATAATGTGCGGAGGCCTAGTACGGTGGAGACTTAGTTAATCGCTCATCCGATTCCCAGTAATACGGAGTGGAAAACCATCACGAAAATCAAAAGCAATACTCACCTTTAATCTGGTATAACAGGGAGGGTAGATCCAGCAACGTACAATTTGCTACACGTATCTCAGTAAGTCCAGATTGCTCATGTAGCAAGAAGGTGGGAGGTGACAGGACATGTGGCAAGCAATGTATCAGCTCGCAATAACTTACATCCAAAAAGCTGAGGCGCTCCAAACGTGAAAGCGCCAACGACATATCCTCCGTGATCTGTGGAAAATATTATTCCTCAGCATGCGTGTAAGCGTTATGGTGACACTTACCTGGGCTCTTCTTGAGTGCAGACGTGTGAGCCGAGGAAATAAGTTGACAATTGCTATCAAACCCCAGTTCGTGAGAAAATAATAATAAATGGTATATTCCTCGGTGATTCGAGGTGCAGTCCAACTATGTGGTCTGATCAATGTGTACAAAAGGATCGCAAAAAAATAATCAATTTGTTCACGCTTTTTACAATGGATCCAAAACAGGTACTAAACTAATTGGCAGGATTAAGGCATTAAAGAAATTAAAAAGCAGGAACAATAACGTAAGCAGATTTAAACAGATATCCAGTTAAAGTAATACGGCCACTCGTGGAACCATCCCCAGGGGACATGCTTCCGTGCAAGGTATTCCCTCGAAAGTTTTCGCTCGCACTTCCATGCAATAACTGGCCGTGTGCCGGTGTGGCATAGTAGCATATGAGCCATCACCTGTATATCATATGTTTTGTTCTTTTTAGAGCTGCTTTTGAACATGTATTATGGGCCATGAAGGCTCAGCCCAGTCCGTCATGCGGATCATTCTATTATGGCACTTTTTTATACGCCAGTCAGTTGGTGGCAATTTGCCTTGCATAGGTAACGTCTTTTATAATCTGGAAGCTGTAATCCCTCACAACAGGAGATCAGCCCAGTCGTGGCCAACGACGAAATAGGAAGAATGTAGAAAAGAAGAATTATGTGAAAGAGGTACTATATCGTTAATGTAAAAAATAGGCAGGTATGTTTTCTACATCGGCGTAGAAATCCATCGAGGCTATCATACGATAAATGTGTGTAGCGTGACAGCCGGAGACAGACGACTGTACGAGTTGTCCATAGGCAAAAGTCCCATAGGGAATCAGTTATTGCCATCAATGAATTCAAGTACATGTTTCTGGACTGTTAACTTCAGAAAAGAAAAGGAAATCATTAGCACTGGAGAACAAATGTAGCGAAAGGGATCGCAGAACAATATTACGAAGTAATCGATTTGTGGGGAAAATTACGAAAATAGTTCCTGACGTCACACCAGTAAATAATTTTGCCCTCTGTTTTAAACAGAAGACAGTTGATATGAATTAAGTTTAAAGGGAGTAAAACCGCATGAAAGGTAGCGTTAAGGAATAGCATAAGAAGCGGTTTGTAGCAGCTCATCCTAGTTGATCAAGTTTTCTCTGGTGCAGTAGAGTTGATGTTCTCCGGTATCATACATGATCCGGCCCTTCTTCATACAGCTTTCATCATCAAGTTGAATGTTTAAGATCCATTTCGCTCTGTCCGTTGACAGATAAGCCTTTATCATTTTCTTGAACATGCAGAAATGTTCAATACATCTAATCTCTTTTGGCAGCTTATTCCAAATGGAGCCATACCTAAGAAGATAGAAATTTCTCCTTAGACTGCTCTTGAATTTAGGTAAATAGAATATGCATTCATTATCTCGCAGTTCATAAATGATGTTTTCCCGAAAGTGCAATTGATAGGTTCCAATATATGCTTTCCGCCACGCGAGTTTGTGGAGGAAGCACAGATTTAGTTGCATTCTTCGTAACCACAGAGGTTCAAGATTCAGTTGCTTGCACCTATCTCGGTATGAAAGAGCAGTTGAACAGCCAAATATGCGCTTCGTAAAGGCGCGTTGGACGTTTTCAATGGCTCTCAAGTCAGCCTTTCGCAAGTTACTGAACACAGCGCAACAATATTCAAGCAAAAGCCAGATCCTGATTTTGAAAGCAATTAGTCTGGTTTCTTTCAAGGTTAGCAGGTGGCATATGAGCCCGACCGACTGCTTAGCCTTTTTCACTATTTGATTTGTATGTTCGCTAAAGTTTAACGAACTAGAATATCTTAAACCTAAGTCACGAACAGACTGGCTGACGGGAATGACTTCATCATGAAGCCTGAACACTTCTGCTGCTATCTGACATCCATACGATAGAATACTACACTTCGATGTTGCAAATGTCATCTGCCACATATCAGCCCATCTCTCAATGGCTTTCAAGTCGCTTTGGATATTGTTAACTTCAGCGGTACGCTGAGAGCCTGGGAAGGTGTAAACCACCTTTAAATCATCAGCAAACAAATAAGGCTTCCCAAATTGTATAACCGAAACCAGGTCATTTATAAACAGTAGGAAGAGTAACGGGCCTAAGACACTGTCCTGTACCACTCCACTGGTAACCGGACGAGGTGAAGAGATATAACCATTGATATCCACAACTTGCGACCGTCCTATTAGGTAAGATTGGATCCAAGAGTAAAGCGGATTGGTAACACCGTACATACTTAATTTACACAACAGATTATTGTGTGGGACTCTGTCAAAAGCCTTTTGCATGTCGAGGAAGATAACAATGCACTGAAGACCTGAGTCAATTGCTTCGGTTAGATGGTTAAGGAAGTCAACTTGACAGGTAACACACGAGCGAGACTTCAGCAAGCCATGCTGTGAAGGTGAGAGAAGTTTGTGCGATATTAGGAACGAAACCAAATGTTCCTTAACAATTCTCTCCAGCATCCGTGAGAGAATGGCTTTGTGACTAATGGGGCGGTAGTTCCGGATGTCAGTTTTCGACCCGGATCGGATGCATTCAGCTCCAGTAAAGGTAGGTGGCTGCAACCAGATGGGTTTAATAGTCGGTTAGCCTCAATCCATCCGTCATCTGTCACCCGGGTGGCTGACACGTGGAGAAAGCGCAAATGTCGTAGACCTGGGTGCAAAGGAGCAGTGATAGGGAATTCGGACTGCAATGAGCGCTCACAAGGAAAACTGAGTTCTGCGAGTGAAGTAATGCAATGCTCCCATGATGGAAAATCGCACAATACATTTCGTTGTACATTGATGGAATGACGCCGTCACACCTATCTTATCTCAATACGCCTTGTGCCAGGGGGTGTGCTGCGATGGCTCGGTTGGTGCCACTACAGCTACACCTGGCGAATAATCAAAGTTAGGGTGTTTACTTCAAGTCGGGATTCACCGAGGATATCACAAATGTTCTCATCACAAACGGGCTGAAGTCAATCCAAAAAGAGTGAGCGAAGATTTCCTATGTCTGTGTATGGGAATCACCGTGAAACAGTCAGCGAAACGGGCATTCTTCATGATTATCATCATTTTACACGTTAGCTGCAGATGGATAATACCTCAGCTATTGCGCTGCAATTCAAAAGAAAAATGACATGAAACAGTGACAGTGAGTCACCAGTAACGGATTTTGTTAACGTTCTTGATGAATTTCCGGAGAGCGATCATCGCGTGATCAAATGCCGCCCACGACCACGCATGACCGATGTACAAAACACAATGCATTAACGTCTCTTCAGTTCGGTCAGCTGGGACTCTTCCAGCGACCTGGCTCGTTCGATGAATTGGGATAAGTTCTTTCTCTCTTCATGTCCTCAACATGCCACGGACCTGTTTTATAGCACAATTGACTTCTGCATAGATTCAGCTGTACCACTTAAATGTGCTTACCAAACTAAACATAAATCCAATCGCAAGACGTTGAAGGCAGCACGAGTGCTTCATAAGATTCGGCAGAAATTCAGGTTAACTGCTGACTTTGCGCTATTATTACAGCAGTCGAAGCTCGTCGAAGAACAGAGGCATCAAGGTGAGAAAACTCTCATTCTAGAAGAGTACAAAGCTCTGAACGGCCCTAGCAAAACAGCTGAACTAGCCAAACTATTCTGTGCCCGGGGTTCGCGTTGCAGCGACAATTTCAATTTTATCATCGCACCTGATGGAACATACTACGACGCACCAAGTGATATCTGCAAAGCTTTCATTGCTTATTTTTCCGAATCAATGCTTATTGAATCATCAGACACACGAACACTTATCATGCCGCACAACAATGAAGGTCTATGCACAGTGCATTCATTAAAACGAAAATCACTGATCAACTCTCTCGCTTATACTCCTCAACATGCGCAGGCCCTGATGGGATCCCCTCTTGTTTAATAAAAAGCAGTGGTAGTGACTTCCTTCTGCTTTTGCTCAACCTCTTTACTCTTTCTTTTGACAATAGAGTACACCCTACACAATGGAAAACCTTTGTCATTATCCCGCGACATAAAATGGCGCTGCCCACGAGGTTAAAACTTTCGTCTCATCAATCACACACTCATAGTACGTAGAGTAATGGAAAGGATAGTGAAAGATGAATTATTTATATTCTTGAACCATGCTAACGTTATCAGCAATTCGCAACACGGCTTCATGCAAGGTCGATCATGCGCAACATGTCAGACTGAATTTTTAACACACACAAGGACTGTCATTGGCAACGGAAACAGTATCGTAATCCTGTTCCTGGATATACAAAAATTTTTGTTAGAGTGTCTCACAGCTGGTTAATTAATAAACTGAAGTCTAAAGGCATTGGAGAACCGATTTCCTCTTGGTTGTCTTCATATCTAATTGATAGACAGCAGGTGGTGCGCATAGGCGACCATTTCTCTAAACCTAAATAAATCACTAGTGGAGTGATTCAAGGGAGTGTTCTTGGTCCTCATCTTTTTCTAATTTATATTAACGATGTATTCCAGAGAATAAGAAATGGTGTTGCATTTATCTTTGCTGATGACATTAAAGTTGTCTACTCACATCCAGTTGTAAATATTTTGGAAGCCGAACATCTCATTCAAGATGACCTATCTGCCCTTGATTCCTAGTGTCAACTGTGGCAGATATGATTTGCCGTGGACAAGTGTAATATATTGTCATACAAATGCCAAGTACCGCCAGACAGTTTATTACTACAAAACGCATATATCTCGCAATGCAGGGCAGTTTGCGACTTGGGCGTGGGATATTCAGTCACGTTTAACATTTCTGAACACTATGACTTTCAAGTTTCGAAAGCTATGAAGACCATCGGTTATATCTGCCATCATTTTTACCTCACGGAATCGCGCACAGCGCTTTACAAAACATATGTATTGCGGTGTATGGAATACCGTTCAATGGTACAGTCCAATCTGCGGGAATCTGAGCAGCACGCTCTTGGAAGGGTCCAGAGACGCTTCACGTAAGAGCTATGTATATATTCCTCAAAGTTGACATACCGTTAGCGATGTGATAAACTTGGATTTGACCCAGTTTGGCTTCGGATAATGAAGCTGAATCTATCTTTTCTTTACAGAATCATAAATTGTCAAATTCGCAGTCTTGAAAACGGTGTTCACCTGTCTTTAAACAGCAGATATCGAAAACGTAACAAAGAGGTAAATGGTATGATTGCAAAATTTACTAGGAGAATCAGAGAACGTTTCTTTCGAACCTAATACTTGAAGATTTGGAGGAAACTTCCAAGTGATATCAGAACATGCTATACACTTTGCAATTTTATGTTTGCGATTAATAAACATTTAACTGTTCAAAACTTGCTTAATATGTTGGGGACATCAGGGTCCCTAGATAACGCATTCAAAAGCGGTATCCATGGTGCCTGAATAAATATCCGAAACACATACACATAACGTTTCGGATAATACCACCTTCCATTACGTTTTTTCATGGCCCAAATATCTGTCAATTGCAGGAAAAAATAGCAGAACGTCTCTGATTGCTCTGTGTTACCTAATTTGCAATTGCGACCATGTTTATCACTAAAAAAGTATTAATGAAATGTCATGGATCATGATCTGTTCCATCTGGGGAACAGCTTCTCGCATCGTCGAGGAACATACAGTTTATTTATTTATATTTCCGGAGAGCTAACGGCCGCAAGAAGGATTTATACTATCCCTATTAAATGTGGTCGTGGTTGGAGGAGGAAGCTAAGTGGGAGGGGATGGTACAAACAAACTCACAACACAAACCCCATTGAGATCGGTGCGTATTCATGTCTACAAGTGTACTCAGCCAAACATGCTCATCGTCCTTTGGTCCCCAACCAGGGAGTCGAGAGGCCCCCACCGAGGCCCACCTCGAAGTAAGGGTCTTCATTTCTCTTGCCCAGGTCAGCGCTTGACCATCATTCCTCTTCTTCCATCCCCACCCTTGGTGCGTGAATAATGCACCTCGCGAGAGTCGGTGGGCTGGCATGCGCAACAGCTGGCCCAACCATCGCAGCCTAATGCGTGAAATACCGTGTTGAGCACTTCGCTTCTACTTCCTGCATCATAAACAAGGTATAGAACACGCTCATTTCTCACACGATGTTCCCACCATATATGAGCCAAACAGCGAAGGTACCGGACATTCGTAGTGAACAAGGAATATGTCACAATTACAACGATGTTCTGGCAGAGGTGATCAGCAGTGGATACAATTTGTCTGTTGAACTGAACAAAAGACAGAGATGGAGAACTCATCGCCTCAGATGTATAGCAGTAGCGAACACATATTTATTGAGAATACGTATATATAGATCAGCCCCTTGGTTGGTCTGTATCTTGCACTATCGAGGAATTTACCCATTATTATGATTTAATAACGAGAGGAATGGGACCCGGGGTTATCACTACAAAGGAGGCCATCGATGGTTCCAGCAAGGAAAGGTGATTGGGGCATGGACCACCGTGTAATTGGATCAAACTAGTACTGCTTGCTAGCAAATCCCGGACTCCGTGGTGCGATGTTCATGCAGCAGCATTGCTCCCGGAGTTGGAATCCCTGCTCCTGCCAACCCATCGGCGACCTTGCTTTGTCCTGATTTCCGTACAGCCGCTTGCGGTTCAGTACCAATAGAACATCAGTACAGCCTTGAGACGAAGATATGGCTAACATAGAGATTACACGTGTTATTGGGATAAGGAAACGACGTTCACTTCCACCTTACAGTTGGCCAATCAGGGCGCCACAGTTTAACCAATGAAAATCTAGCACACACTCTGGGCACGCGTTGTCACACACTTAATCGCTCTTCACCGTTGCTTCCCTGCGCAATCGGCCAGCAGCCCAATTCCAACTGCAAACAACGACGTGCAGTGGGTGGGGAATTTGCTTAATCCTGATGATCCACCATGACCCAGTGCCATAAGCTGCTGACTGGCCACTTCGATGACATGGGTTCGGATCCCGATGAAGCCAATGGATGCGCACTACTGACGAGGCCCAACGGGTCGAAACCGGAGTCTAATGCTTTTCCGGGCATATGAAAGACTATTTGATTTGGCTGCTGCTGCAATCAACTCTCAATTGATTAAAAAGGTTATGTCATATTCTTCATGCGCACTTATGCAGTAAGGAGAAATATGGCTGAAATGCATGGCAGACGTGTAGCAGCGCGGATCCATTCGGGGTTTCACTTTTGATTGGCCAACTATAACCTGGCAGTGAACTTGTTTGATCATCTCAACAGGGATAGGTCATTTCTTTGGTAATTATTTCCCCGCCTCCCAGTAATTAGCAAACATACCCCGACAAAAATGAAACTTTTCCAAATAGAAATTCGGTGTTGCCCATCCGAAAACACTACACAACGTGAGGCGTTTCGATATTATTACATCTCATCTGATAGAGTTTGCAGGCATCGAACCCGGGAGGGCAACACCCAATTCTATTTGCATCAGCTACGATCCCGTGTTCAAAAGACCATAGTTCACTTCAATGGGAATTGCGGTCAATATTGAGATTGCGTGTCGCAATCCATCCACACAACGGAAACTTTTCCAGTTTGTTCCCTAGCTGGCACGATTTCTGCCACTGTTGGGTCAATCACGAGAGCATCTATGTGCTGCTAATCTCTGCGAAGTGTGGCGAATCAGCAGCGAGTTTTAAAACACTTACCATTCGTCACAGCGGAGCCGCAATACTGTGGAGTTAAGAAATGCAGTCACCTCATTATCATACGGAGAACACGAATGTTCTTGGGAAAGTTGTTGTGAACACCTCATGGTTCCACAAAACCGCCTCGGATGTCATTCCTATTCTCCAGTTTGCAGAGTGCTGATGATAAAAGAACTGGTGAGAAATGATACACTTAGTCTGAGGGACAAGTTATGTATATCCAGGCAGTATCTGCGGCGTCAGCGAGTCTCTTAATCTGCAGGCGGAGTATAAGAGAGTAGTGAGGAGAGAGAAGTAGTATCGTCCGAGTCGAAA